AGAGACAGATATTATGAAAATCATAAGAGTGGGCTTTAAATATGTTTATCTTTATAAGAGTTGCATGTCTGGTTGATTTCATACTTCTCTACAATAGATAATGTTGAAAAAATGACAGGCTTTGGCCATCCTAAGCTCAAGTACAGCAGAGAACTATTAATGAATAAACGGAACAGTCATCGAGCACATAAAATTTCTTAAGTGCCATTCGATAAAGTGGAAGTGCTTCAAATGTGTCCAAGAATTACTAAGTAACATGTTAAATAGTTTATTACATACTTATGTGTATGTGTGTGAGAGAGAGACAGAGAGACAGAGACAGAGAGACGGGGGGAGAGAGAAAGAGAGAGAGAGCATTTCCATTCTTATCTCAACCAAGACCCTGTTGGGAAATCTCAGAGTTATGTAGCAACAACTCTGTGTAAGCACACTTTAATTTTTTAAAATTTTATTTATTACTTTTATTTTATGTGTATGTATGTATTGCCTGCATGTAGGTAAGTGCACCCATGTCGTGCAATGCCTGCAGAGGTCAGAAGAGGCTGTCGGATCCCCTGGGCTGGAGTTATGAACAGTTGTTAGCAGCCATGTGGGTGCTGGGATTCGAACCCTGGTCTTCTGCAAGAACAGTGTTCTTAACCGCTAAGCAATCTCTCCAGCCCATGTGTAAGTACACTTTAATGCCAGGATGGGAGGTCTCAAATATGCTAGCTGCTTGAGAACTCAGTCTTACTTGAGAAGGGATTCAGCCTGAATCTCATTTTGTAGATTATGATTAATGATTAACTTACTGGGCTTCAATGTGTCTGACTGCTGGCTTCCCAATACTAAATAAAATGTACCATGACCAAAGACTAGAAATATATGTGTTCTGTTTTAAAACAATATTTCTTGAGATTTCAAAGAACAGATGAGCATATTCTGCAAAGGACAGAGAAATACAAGTTCACAAAGTTTTTCACAAACTTAAGGCATACTAAATTGGGCTCTGGGAAGTTTTTAAAGATCATCTGTCTCATTCATGACAGTAGCAGGATGGGATAAACCCAGGAAAAGGTTGTCACAGGAAAGGGTAGGAAATGGACTATTGTATGGACTTACCAAAAATCCTGAATACAGAGCTACTGAATTATCTTCATTATGATTGGAAAAATATAAAGGCAAACCTGATTAATTGATGGGGTGGTTCAGTAATGGGTAAGCATGTTGGGAGTTCCTGAATCTGTTCTAGAAATGGATGGAAACATTTTGGATGGGTCACAGTTAATCTCCAATACATGTATTTTCAAATGAATTTTATGTGATAAACTCTTCAGAGCCAAAGGTCACAGATTTATACACTCTGCAAACTGTCTATAAATTAAGCACACTCTGGAAGTTACGATGGTGATAGTGGAATGGTCATGAAGACTGTGAGGGTCTCCAGGGTGAGACTACTGCCATTATTGCCAGTTTGAGAACAGCACTGATGTGTTTTTTGATGTGCCTAAATGATTACATCCTTGTCAAGTCAAATGATCTTTGAGTCTGAAAATCAAAATCTTAATACTGGACCCAGGATCTCTAGTACAAATGAACATATCTGTAAAACAATTTTAGGAAAAGACACCTTTTCCACCAATGATTCTTAAATACATGCAATCAACAGTTCTCACCAAAATTCTTTGAGGGGAGGGAATCCCTCTGTATGAGTAAACTAGTGGTGGATGATGTCAGGGTGGGAGGTTACCTATGTGCCCAGAAAGGACCTGTCACTTGAGAGTGCAGCTTCAATTCTCAGAGTTCTGGGCTACAGAGAAGCCACAGCATCCCAAACAAGGCAGATTGTTGTGCCCCCACCTCACACTGCTTTTGGCTTGCTAGTTTGTGTTTTTTCTTCATGCCTATGCTTGTAAATGTGTACAACAGGAAAACACATCAAAAGCAGCAAAGCCCTCATTAGATTGTCCTCTTAACCCAAGCCAGGCTGAAAGAATTAATCGATATTTAGTACTTTGGACATATTGGCCCTAAGAAGGTAAACAATAGCAATAAAACAAAAAAGAATCCTATTCACCTTTATTTTTATCATCAGTGTTATTGTTTGGCTGTGGTTGATTACCGTTTTTCTTCAGGGCTTTCCAAATAGAGAGTCCAATCTGAGAGCTAAATTTAATTGCACTGCGCCTCACCGGAGCACCACTATAATCCAGCAGTCAATTCGAGAAAATGAAGATAAACATTTTCTTTGTAACCTGTCTTGAAGATTTTTATCTTAGGCATAGGCTAAGCTAAAAGTAGTCTTCTATTTCAAAGGCTGATGTGAATTCTGAAACTAATTATTTTAAAGGGAACTATAACTCGTAAAGAATGATGCTAATTTTCCTTGTTGTATTTGCACACAGGTCTTTGCTTAAGATTTAAGGCTGTTTATTCTCATTACACTCATCAAGAATACTTCATACTGATATCTGTGGGAGATGCTTATGTGATACTACAGAAAATCAGATCTACTGTTATGTACATAGCTTTGGTATTTCTATACATCAACAAGCTAAACTGTTGAAAATTGATAGAAAAAAAACAGATTCTCAGGCATCATTTTTCAAGTCTACTTGTTAACTTGCTAAACTACCATTGTGAAATTTAGAGCTGATATCTTTATTCATATAAGCTTTATCTTTTCATTTTAAACAGCCTTGGCTAGGGCTGGCTGACTCCCAGGTAACAACAGAATGCAGATTCACTCCTACCTGAGTGCTTACCACCCAGGCGCGTGCCTCAGTCCTCCTTACACCCACCTAAGGGTGGTAAGCGAGAACACCGCCCAAAGACAAAACTTTCTGGTCTCTAACTCTACTCTCGCCACCGTCAAAAGCGGCCTGGGATTGAGAAAGACACTGGCTTTTGTTCCACAGTCGCTCAACTGGCGAGGTGAGCGCCACGACGGTCCCAATTCATCCCCCAGAGGTCGTGAGCTGTGCAACAAGACGAGAATTTTGGAGTCTCAAGCAAAAAGTCCATTTCCATGCTATCCAGGAGTGTAGGGGTATGCAAACATAAAAGTGGGGTGAGGAGAGGGCAAGGATGGACTCTTCAAAGCCCATCTTATTCTATTCTTGCCTCAGGTTCGCCAAGTGAGTCTCCCCACTCGGCCAGCCAGGCGGGGGCTGGGAGACCGCAGGGACTGCGAGGGACAGCGGTGCCACCCGGGTCCCCCAGCTACAGTGAAGACGCGGGTCCAGCCCCGCCTCAGGGTACAATCAGGAAAGCTACTGTGTCCGTGGTTTGGGGCTTCCTGTTTGTAATTGAGAAGCTCCCTTGCAGACTCTGGGACCGGGGTTCTTCCTCCCACCGTGCTGGTGGCCGGGGGGCGGCAGAGGGGGCAGGGCCGCGGGCGCTGGGCGGTCCCCGGGGCTGCGCAGGGCGACCAGGCGGACAAAGCGCCTCCCGCTCCCTCCCCCACGGCCGCGTTCCAAAAGGGAGGGGAGGGCGGGCCGGAGGGGTGGAGAGGGAGGCATGGGAGGGAAAGGAGGGGAGGAGGAGGGCGCAGTCAGCGGGACTGGGCTGGAGCGCGCTCCGGAGGGAGGGCAGGGAGGAGGGGCCGGGTGGCCGCGGAGAGCCGGGAGGAGGGTAGGAATCTTGAAGCCCAAGATAAACAAATTGTTCCTCTTCACGTGCGGGGTGGGGGTGGGGGTGAACAAGCGCCGGGGCTCCCCTCCCCCACGCCGGCTCTTTGTCACCGAGCGCCCAGCGACACTGGCACCACCCCAGGCGCTCCGAGACCAGAAACGTGCGCGACGGATTGAACGCACACGCCGATGGAGGCGCGTTGGGCAAGTGGGAGCGGGAGCGCTCCGAAAGGGCCATCGCCACGGTCCCCAAGTCGGGCGACACGGAGGGGGAGGGAGTGCAGACACCTTTCCCAAGCTTCCGGCCTCCCCCCGAATCCCCCGCCCTGGGAGGAAAGCCTAAGAAACGGAGAGAGGAGATAAGAGAAAGGATTCCACCCTCAGGGTGAGCCGGTGGGATCGGCCCCTTCCTCCCCTAGAGCTTAAGCCATTGGCTGCGCATCCTCCAGCGAACCCACCCACCCGGCCATTTAAGCCTCTTTCTCCTCCCTGCTCCCCTCCACTCCTTCGGGCTCTGTACGCGGTTCCTGAAAGTTGACGGGGAGCAGTGGTAGATGGCCAGGAGAAGCAGGCTCAGAGCTAGCAAGTTGAGGAGGAGGATGGGGGACAATCCCAAGCCAAGTTGCGGTCGCAGGATCTGGGCGGAGCTCTGGCTTCCCCGCCCACGCCGAGCGGCGTCCCTCTCGACCCCTCGCGGCGGTTCCACCTGCCCTGCCTCAGCCTCGGGTCTCCAGCCGCTAGCGGAGCTCACCGGTGTCCCGCATCAGAGCGCGCTCCCGCGAGCACACGCGCACGCGCGTAGCCACCTTCGCTCCCATCTCACCCACTTCAAAGTTCATTCACAAAACTCTCAGACTTTCTCAAGCCCCAAAGGTGGTGAGCAGGGGGGAGGAAGCCAGGGACTCTTCCTTTCCTCCTTCAGGGGAGCGTGCGGTAGCACCCACGTTTCCCTGAAGCCAGCGGTTGAGAGGACAGAGGTGGGCGAAGGGGGACCGATCTGGGGAGGCGCGGAGGCAAGGCGAGCGGTGAAAAGGAGGAGCAAGATTTCAACTCCGGGGCTCACTCTCTTTCCCATCGTTTCTAAGAAAGGGAGGGGGAAACTTTTCCAGCACCTCACTCCGACGCTCCTCCAGGCTCCCTCCTCCCCTTGCAGTCGTGACTGGCTTCTCCCCCTCCCACCCCCTCTTCCCCAAATCTGACAACCCTGACAGATTAACAGGTAGCGCCGGCTTCAACAGCGTTTACCCTGAGAAAAGTTGACATTAACCCTTCGGTTTCATCCCACCTCGCCCCCGGTGCAAATCAGACCCTCTCACCCCCACGAAAAGCAGCTCCACGCCCCCCCCCACCCCATAGCGCGCCCCAAGCCGGCTGCCAAAGCGCCCTCACCATGATCAGCGTGTGGTTCCTCTGCTCCACCGAGGCAGCCTCCGCATCCTGCTGGGGTTTGCTCTGGTGCTGCTGCTTGCCGGTGCTGGCGCCCGATTTCTTGGCCCTCTGCTCCAGGGTCCTCTGGTAGAGGCTTACGGTGTCCCGGCGGTCCAGCTCCAGCTGCTCCACCTGAGCCTGCTGATACCTGTTCTCGCAGTTGACGTGGTGTCGCCGGCAGCCCTCGATGCGCTGGCGGAGCCGCTCGACCACCGTGCTGTGCTTGGGGACTACCGCCGAGCTGCCGCCGGGGCCCCCGGAGCCGCCGCAGCCGCCGGCAGCAGGGTGGCTGCTACTCGGAGCAGCGGGCGTACTGTTGGGAGTATTATTCACACCGATCCCGGCCACGCCGAGGCTGCTGTTCAGGCTACTGTTGATGCAAATACTACTACCATTCGCGGCAGCAGCGGGGGCTGCGAAATCCCCCATCCTGCTCCCCGGGCACACTATTTTGGAAGAACTTTTTTTTTAAATCCACTCCCCCCCTATCAGCCTCCTCCTTGGGTCCAAGGATTAAAATAGTTTAAGTGGAACGCGGGGGAGACGCAAGCACATGGATGGAAACAGCGATCCCGACGGGGCGAAAAAAAAGGGGGAGAGATTTTTGGGGTGGTTTTTGTTTCCTTTAAAAAAAACTGTGAAGCTCGAGGGGGAAAAAGAGGGGGTGTTATCGGAATACCATCAGACACCTATCAACAAAAAGAATCACAACAAACTGAGCCACCAGCAAATCGGGTTGCAACTCAAGGGGCAATCCGCTCCTCGCCTGCCTTCTTTTTATAATCCATTATTTTCTAATAAATTCCAGGAGATTTCCGGTGGTTGGCAAGCATTTTCTCCCTACGTACCGAAAAACACACCCCATGTACACACACAAGCGTGTGCCTCCAGTGCGGACACGCGCGACACACACTCACTCCACACCGCATCGGAAAACGGCAAGCTTGCTTATCGCATTTTCCTTCCACAAAAAAGTTTTGGTGTTTATGCGGCCCCGTGTTCTCAAAGTACTTTGGCTGCTCAGTTGCATTTCACAGGAACCTAGATATCGAATCCTCGGGCTGGGGGAAGTAAACACATGGACAGTTCGAGGCGACTGCAAAAGTAGATCGGTGAAGTCCTTTGCAAAACGCCGCGCGGAGAGCAGCCCCTAACGCTCGGCTGGGCTGCCGCTGCCGCCGCTGCCGCTGCCACCATCACAATGATCAACTGCTCGCCGCCGCCGCCTCCTCCTCCTCTCGCTCCTCCACCTCCTCCTCCTCCTCCATGCCAGCGGAGTGATATCAGGACGCGCGAGCTCAGTAAACACGGCAGCGGCGGCGGCTGGAGGCCGTGAGACAAGCCCGGGGACACGGCGTAAAACCCGGCCCGGACTCTCCCCCGGCGGAGCGGGCGTGGCGCGCACCGGCAAGGGATCCCGCCCCCCTTGCCCCGCCCGCCCCCCCCCCCCCCGCCCCTCCCACATCCCCAACCCAACCCCTACCCAGCCTGGGAAGCCCGGTCTGACAGGAGGAGGGAAAGAAAAGATTGTGGGGGAATCTCAGAAGTGGATCACCTTTTGACCTGTGTGTGAGAGTGCGCGCGCGTGTGTGTGTGCGCGCTCCTGTGCGCGGGGACGCGCCTGGCTGGGTTTTTTTTACACCAAACGAGGTATCAAGCTAGCCTAAGTTGTTGTTATACATTTATGCATTATATTGCAGAACTGTGCATGACCAGGCAGAAACATTGCAGCTTCCCAGCAGCTGTCGTTCCCACCCATGTGGAACGAAAAAGGCAAATGAGTGACTTGTTTTCAAGACCCAGAGAGTAAGTTCCTGCTGCTGCTGATAATCCTGTTCATGTACACTTGCTTAAACTCTAGGACCTTCTTAACACAAATACTGAATTATTTTATCATATTATTTATCTTATATTTGTTTATGGGGGGCGCCCACGTGCCACGGTGCGCCTGTGGAGGAGGTCAAAGGACAGCTTTGTGGAATCAGTTCTCTACCATCATGTGGATCCTAGGGTTTGAACTCAAGGCTCTGTGGTGGAAAGCACTTTTATCTGCTGAGCCATCTAGCCAACCCCCAAATACTGAATTTTGTTTTTGTTCTGTTTTGTTTCTTGAGACCAAGTCTATGTAGCCTTCGCTTACCAGGGACATATCTGGGACTTGCTATGTAGACCAGGCTGGTCAGGAACTCAGTGATTCTGCCTCTGCCTCCCAAGTGCTGCAATGAAAGGCATACTGGGCCTAACTACTGAATTCTTAATGAATAGAAAAAAAACATCAAAAAACTTGGAATATTGTTTTCTTCTCTGTACATAATGGCTGTTGTTATTAAGGTGATTATTGTTTTACTTACCCTTGGAAAAAATTAAAATCAAGCAAGCAGGGACTTGGAGGTGAGACTAACAGTACATTTTAACAGACTGTTTTGAACACTAGGTGCTAATGACAGCAGTAATTAAGGGTCCTTCGTAAATCAAGTGGAAAGATTGCAGATTTCATGAACTAGAACTATAAGAAAAACAGCATTTCACAGTTTGTTGTGACCAAAACAAAAACAGGCAAAAATAACAGGCTTACCTTATTGCTGGATATATTCCTTTCTGTTTCAATGAATTCACAATAAGTACAATTAAAATGGAGTAGCAGCTATGGAAAAGCAATCTCAACTTTCATTTTATTATGGCAAATTATCTTTCCAGACATTGAGTATCTGAAAACAAGAGGAATCAAACATCCTTGAATTTGACTTACACTACTGCAGAGATGATTTTGTAAAAACGAAATGCAGAAGCTGCTGACATTTCTGGGATCACAGGTAGGCCACAGAGATCCGCCTGTGTCTGCCTTTAGAGTGCTGGAATTAAAGGCTTGCACCACCACGCTCGGCTTGCCTTACTTTTTGAGGTCCATTTAGTTAATATACAAACTCCTGAATCAAAACTACCACTCAATGTCAGTCAGAAAACTAAACTGAGTTAATTGTATAAAAAATGAACCCATTCACACCCTAAAAACATGCAGCAAATGAAATGATAAGAACGCATGGCCATTCTTTTTGACATACTGCGTAACCTGTTACCTCAGGAAGTACACACCACAGACAGGGGCAGCTATGATTCTGCATTCTCTCTTCAGGAGAGTTTACTTCTGATTCCTCCTTCCCTACTCAGCTACATAACACTGCAATTGACTTACCCAGGCAAGAAGTCAGAGGATCTGAAGCACTGCGTTTGCTTTTTGAGACACTGGTATTCATTCTCGCTTTTCCTTGGAATTCAGAATTTAATTTTTCATGGAGAATTTCTCATTCTGGTGAAACAAAACTGACAACAATGACAGCACCATGGGTTTGCATGTTAATTATTTCGTTTATCATGAAGGGAAGCTGAAAATACATGGGAATTTGCATCCTTCCCTTTGGGGGGACCAGCATATAGCAGAGCATACTTGGTGGCTGTACCCAAGTGCACCCCAGTGGCAAATGGAGATAGTCTTGCATGGCTACAGTTTCCTTTGCTGACTGATTTTAGTGCATGAAGTAGACTATATTCAAAAGAAAAATGGACTGTTCATAAAATCACACACACACACACACACAGTCACCCACTTCTTGAGGTTATAGGAATGATGGTCACAAGTCTAAGAACAAAATGCAGGGAAAGGAAAAACTGTGAAGCTTTGTGTTAGTGAGGGGAAGTCTGAGAAAACCGACCTGGGCAGGGCTCCACTGTGCATATGTGATGTCTGAAACACCATCTTAATTGTGCAAGGCCGTTAGAAGAACAAAGTAGGAAGGGAGCAGTACTGGAGACAAGCAGAGTAGGCCAGTACCCTGTATTAGCTATGTTCATCTACTGCTGTGACGTCAGCCAAGGCAGAGACCTTTATCCTGGCTGTTTCTGGATTCTCCTGATGGATCTCTGCAAGGCTGCTGAAAAGACTCCTTGAAAGTCTTAGAGAAAGCCAAGTTCTGGCAGGAGTGATTTTAGCCCTTTCCCACTAAATATGAATGCCATGACCATCTTTGTGTTTCATATGAGCCTTCTACAAAGCAAACCTTCAGGAAAGAGGCTGGAGACTCACCAGCAATGCTTGGTGGAGGAGGAAAAAAAATCCAAGATGCCACAGCAAGAATGAGAAAGTTGGGCAGAGAGACTGGTTGAGGAGGTGGTTCAGTTGGTAATATATTTACCTTGCAAGCATGAAGACTTAAATTCAATCTCCAGAACTCACATAAAAATCCCAGCAGTTTAGTGGGGGAGACAAGAGGATCCCTGGGACTTTCTGGCCATCCAGTCTAGCTTATTGGTGAGCTCCAGGCCAAAGAGAGCTCTTATCTCAAAGGATGAGAACACCATTACTGAGGATAATTTTCAAGATTTTCTTTTGGCCTACACACACACACACACACACACACACACACACACACACACACACACACTAAAATAAATGACTGTGGTTATATCCAGAGACTTTGACAATCACTCTCTGGATGCCAAAGAGAGAAGGGTGTGATGATTATGATTAAGAACCTGCAGTAGGTGTCCTGCAGCTCTGGCCCTGAGCCACAGCTGACATTTTCAAGGATTGAGTCAGATTGTCTCTTCTTTAGCCAATTCTGTCATCTGCCCATGTCTGTCTGATCAGGCCCAGTGTCCCAGTGACAAGAAAGACATCTTGGTGTACAACAAATCCAGTCCATATACCACTCTGTCTCTCCATTGTCATGAGTCAATAAAAACTGACTTCATAATTGTCCCTAAAAGAGTTCTTCATGACGAAGGCACGATAGGAACTCTGCTGCCCACATACCAATAAGCAAATGTTTATAAATCCTTGATGGAATGGTGCCCGGCTGTTCCCAAAGTCCTAGCTTACTGTCTAGCAATAGCTAACATTCAATAATTCCACAAATATATTTATGACCTTCTGTGTGCCAGGCACTGTGGTAAGCACTGGGTGTACAGCACAACTGTATATAGAATACTGTCCCAACCTCAATGAATCAGGGCAGCAGACGCCGCGACAGGACTGAGATAGAGTAGGTATGGGAACAAGAGAGCCACTGCAGGCTTGGAGGTCTAAGAAAGCTTTTCCAGAAAAGTCCACCAGTAGTTCCCTCTCACAGGACTGAGTCTGAGAGGGTGTGATGAGAGATGAGGCTGAAGCTAGGGAGATAAACAGGAGCCAGATTGTTCAAGGCCGTGCAGAAGTTCAGACTCTGTCCTTGGGACACTGACTGCCGTTGAAAGGGCTTCAGCTTATTTATATATTTTATTTTGGCAGTGCAGCCAGTGTATTATAAGGGTGTTTTAAAAAATGTATCTGGGAAAACCTGTTCCTATCAGATGCTTCACCAGAAAGGCTTCCGAGCCAAGTAAGTATAGGAGGTGGTCGTCCAGCCTCTATCTTGCAGATTCATTACCACCTTCAAGGGCATAAGAAATCTCATAGCAAAGCATGTTTAACTTTGTTTAGCTTAGCAGAGCCAGAATCCTGTTACATCCCACAGGACACTGCAGAAAATTCTATGCAGGAAAGTGAAAACTGCCTGGGATGTACCTCAATGGTGGAACTCTTCCCTAGCATACTCAAGGCCCTGGATTCAGATCCCAGAAATCTCAAAAAAAAAAAAAAAAAAAAAAAAAAAAAAAAAAAAAAAGAAAGAAAGAAAATGGAGGGAGGGGAGTCAAAGGCTGTTCTATTTTAATCCTGGGGGGAGGGGGGAGGGGTCTGTGTGGTATACATGCACATGTGTGCGTACAGTTGTGAGCAACCCAGGTACAGAAGCCAGAGGAGGCAGTCAAGTGACCTGTTCTTTGACTCTCCCTTGAGGCAGGATCTTTTACTGAACTCTGAGCTAGGCAGCAAGCCAGCAAGCCCCAGAGAACCTCTTGACTATATTTCCCTACAATGCTGAAGTTACTGACATAGAAAGGCTCTTGGCTAGATGTGGTGGCACATGCCGGTAGTCCCAGCACTTGGGAGGCAGAGGCAGGAGGATCTCTGTGAGTTCAAGTCCAGCCTGGTCTGCATAGTGAGTTCTAGGCCAGCTGGGGCTACAGGGATAGCCTGTTTCAAAAAGACCAATTAAAAAAGAAAAAAAGAAAGACTCTAACCCGGGTGCTAGGGATTTGAACTCAGGTCCGTGTGCTTGTGTAACAAGTGCTGTTACCTGCTGAGCCATCTCCGTATTTTCTGAAGGCAGTTCTGAATCCACCTAAATTCACAATGCCCCAGTGTACTCCCCTCAGCATCTGTTTTGTCAGCATCCTTAGAAAGCAGGCCTTAGTAACCTCTGCTGGATGCATTAAATTCTGACCTTAAATGGGGAGAAGGCAGCTTTGCAAGACAGAAATC